AATGAGCCATTTATTATTTATTTTTTTTATTCATTCATTTTTTTGGTAGAGAAATTATAAAAACTATATTCAAATGGTTTCACAATCATTACCACGGCAATTTGGTAAGAGATATGGCTATTTTTAATGATAAAGAAAAGCTATACAACATGAAATGTGTTAGTATGTAATATTTAATACCTTAATTTTTTTTAATTTTAGTTGTTTATATATTTCTTTTTTAAGTTAATGTTTTTTGTTTCTTTTTGAAAAGAAAACAAAGGGTATGTTAATGACATAGAGGACCTGTGTCAGATGATTCAATTAGTCCTAAGCAGAGCAAACATTACAACATTTAATGACTTGGTTAATGATTGAGGCGTGTCGATTAGCAAACAGAGTAATTGTTTGGCAGAAATGAAACCTTCTTTTATAACAAGTAATATTTGAAGAAATATTATAACAAGTAAGAATCCTTCTTTTATTTGAGATGTATTTTTCTCTTGTTGTTATGTTTTTAATATTTTTTTCCATTCAAATGACTATTTTTTATTTTAATTTTAAACTCCATTCTTTAGTCACATGAAGAGCGAACTTATTTCTTGAAAGGTGTCTATGATGCATTTTGGGTGGCAACTGACCCTATAAATGATCTTTAGAACGTGATGATTAAACAGCTGTATTTGTGTTTTTCAGAGTGGTCATGGATGAAACTCATTCAACCTAATGGACCTTTAAGAAGAGGATACAATTACACCATAGTAGAGGGTGGTGATCAGTAACTATCTAAGAATCTGTACACATAGTATCAGAGCCTAGTAACGATCCAATAACCTGTACACATGATATCAAGATACTAGTGATGACCGTGTAAGTAATCCATTATTCAATTTGATTTTGGTGTCACTCAGAATCCATTACAATGAATATCGAGATGCTGGTGAGGATCGTGAAAGTAATCCATTATTTGTGTGGCAAAGATCTACTTCTCCTTTTATTGTTTATGTACAAGTGAAATGGTGATGAGGCTAGCTCCATGTTATTAAGCCTAATGCGAACCAATACATAGTTATTAGGTAATTTTTATATTTTTATCCCATTTAATTATTTAATTAAGTTGTTTATATTTATTGATTTATAGTCCTCTTTTAATTATATTGTAAGAATATGCACAAGACTATAGGAAAATATGATGATGAGGCTCTAAAATGATTTGAAAATATGAAGAGTAATGCTTAAAAAAATAATCTAAGTGACCTAGTTGGTAAAGTCGATTCATTCACAAAACAATAGAAAAGGTGTAATAAAAATAAAAAGAATATATTTTTTTGTCTTAATTCAATGTGATATAGTAAAATATTAAATATAACAAACTTATTTTGCACGTAGCAAACTCGGAGAAATGGATATTGAGGAGAATGAAGAGAAAATAGAAAATATTGTTAAAAAAAGTGAGAATGAGGAAACTGAAAAACTAAAATTAAGTGACAAAAGTGATTATGAATTACATTAGTTTTAAATTTAAGTGACTCTTCTATGAAAAGTCATATTTTTAAAAATTTACTTTACAGTAAGTAAACTTCTAGAAATAAATAATAAGAAGAAGAGAAAGAAAAAAAAAAGCCTCTTGCAATCGCCAAAAAGAGTGAGAATGAGAAAATTAAAAAAAAAATCGAAAAGCTAAACATAAACGGTACAGATGATTATGCATTACAATTGATTTTAAATTTAAGTGATTTCTCCATAAAAATATATATCTTAATAACTGTTACTAAAATTTAAATGATTATGCATTATAATTACAACTATTTTTTGAGGTAGTCATCTTTTAATATAGCATTCACACGCTATTTTATCTCATCTCTACTAAATTTTGATGTTGCCTAAAAAATTACAATAAACAAGAATCAGTTTTTGTAAACTTGAAAAGTTGAATGATCAAAATAAATAACTTGACGAAAATGAGATAAAGAAGAATTAACACCCATATATATATATTTTCATATTTACATCAATTAAATATTGTATGTCCATATGTGATGATATCTTTTTGGCGTGCTCAAATGCACATGGTATCAGAGCTTGGTTATGATCTAGATATATGTGGACTATTAGTCAATCACGCTTCTGCTACACAAGAAAGAACTTTAAAAACTGCATTAGCAAGTTGGACATGATAAATATCTATAATCCAATTTGAAGAGGAGTGTTATTACGATTTTTTAATTATTTGTAAATATTTATATTTATTATATTCTTATTTTCTAGGAATAAAATCATAGGATTAAATAATTATTAATTCTTCCTGATTTTTATTCTATGATCTGATTATAATTTATACTTGACCCTTTGTATATATCTCTCATATTCATGTCAATGAAAATAATCTCTTTAGCATGTTCAAATACATATGGTATTAAAGTTTGGTAACGATCCAAGAACTTATACATATGGCATCAGAACCTGGTAATGATTCGGGGACCTATACACACGGTATCAGAACCTAGTAACTATCCGGAGACCTATACACATGGTATCATGACCTATAATTATTTTTTCAGCATGGTCAAATGCGCACAAAATGAAGTAGAAAAAACAAAAAAAAATAATAGAAAATGTTATATCCTTAATTTAACAAGCTTATAATCATTCCAAATCTAGAAAATTTGAACATAATAATTTTAATACTAATAATTATTTTAAGAGGTAAGTTCAAATACTGCATAAATTATAGTGGTTAAGAACAAGTAGAGAAGTTTTTCAATGTGTATTCAATTTGATTTTGGTGTCATTACAGAACCCATTTATTTGAACATCGAGATGAGATGAAAGTCGTGTAAGTCATTTATTATTTGTGCGACAAAGATCTACTTCTTTGATTAAATTTCTTATAGAACATGAAAGTGCGAAAGTATTATTGAACTGAAAAATACATGAGATGCGAATGAGAAATTTGGTCAAAGAAGTAGAACTTTGTCATACAAATAATGAATTACTTACAGGACTTTTATTCTCATCTTGATGTTCATTGAAATGGGTTCTATAATAATGCCAAAATCGAATTGACTACGCGTTGAGAAACTTCTCTTGTTCCTGACCACCATAATCCATGCAATATTTGAACTCACTTTTATAGGATCTTTAACGTGAAATGAGCTCTATTCATGACATGACAAAAGCAACATTCTTGATATCTAGGTAAATTAATATCAATTTACAGGACCCCATGCTACCCAAAGTGCATCATGAATGTTTTTCTTCATTATTGAAAACAGCTATATCTCTTACCAAATTGTAGGGGCAATGATCAAGAAATAATTTCAAAGATTTCATAATTACTCTGAAAAAGAAATAAGTAAAAAATATAAAAATATAAACGAGAGATAAATAATAAATGACTCGTCATTTACAGATCAGTATTAATTGAAGCAATTTTTTCAAATTTAATTCGATGTGATTTCACTAACTTTTTATTGTTGAATCACAAATTAAATAATATTTTTTTAAATCATTATTTTGTATTTTGTGTTACGGTTGAGAAGGCACCAAAGTATTCATTTCATTAATATTGTCTATTTTCATAACACTTTATATAGCTAATAGCGTTTTGTTAAAATGCTAAAATTGTAATATTTTTTTCACCCTTTGAGAGCATATGCATTCAAATGTGTCTATAGAGGTTTTTTATTATGATTAAGTTTATTCTCAGATTGAAAATATCAAGCATTGTTTTATGCCAGAGTGGTTTTATGTGCAAGTGAAATGGTAATACTACTAAGCTTAACTATGGGTATTTGGCTTCTTTTATAATGTAACCTTAAACCTAGTATTTGGTCTAAGCATTGATAGAATTAGAACTTTTCTTTATGTAAGAAGATTTGCATCTGCAAGCTACGTGAATTAAATAAATGTTGTACAACTTCAAGTTAAATAATGAAATATTAGTTTGTATCTCTCAAAATTCATTATTAAATAATGAAATAACACCAATTCAAATTTAAATATAAGTCTAACTTAATTAAAAAAAACATAATAATAGGAAGATCTTGCTAATATAGATATGCTGTTTTATTAAAAATTAAAAATAAGTAAATAAAAAATGATCCTTAAAAAATATAATGATAAAGGAATTATAAATAAATTCTAATTAAAGTAATGGATATTCAAAATATCCTTATTTAAATAATTATGATAAAATAATCCTAAATATTTAAATAAAATTCTAATTAATTTATATTTTATATACCATCATAAACTTAAAAGGTACAAGTCAAGCGTAAAAGAAACAGATGTTAGGGAGAAGGAGAAGAACGAACAAGCTTGCCGCAATTGTTAAAAAAAATGATAATGAGAAAATTCAGGAACTAAACTTAAAAGATTGGTTTTAAATTTAAGTGATTTTTTTATTAAGAAATCATTTTAAAAGTACTTAGACTTTTCATCAATTTTTAATTTAATACTTAAGTATTTTGTCTCTAAATTAAATGTTTAATTTTGCTTCATTAATGTTGTTAATCTACGCACAAAGACTACCAATACTAATAGAGCAAAGTTATTTAATCAAGAGAAATAAAACACATAACTATTAAATTAAAAATGGAAACAAAGTATAGGCACCTTCACTATAATTTTTCTTTCAATAAAAAACATTTTGAAATATATCTCATGGGTAGTACTATACTGCATATGTCTTTAAGGGAAGTCAATCATGGGTATCATTATACTGCATATCTCTAATGTCTTTAAGCGAAGTCAATCTGCTGTGAATATTTTGTTTGACTTAAAAATTGAACTTGTACTGTTGTAACTCGAAACGTGAGCTTGAGGCATTTCGGAAAAAAACTGTTTCTGTTGTGTGTGTCTTTTTATTTTGATATTGTTGAGTTTTTGGTTCAATTTTATGCGTAAAATTTCTACAAGATCTAGAAATTCGGCTTTACTTTTCTGACCCAACACGGTATGCCCAGAACTTACCGAGCCGACCAGCAATAACTAAGCTCAGCGATCTATGACCCATTAGAAGATTGTGAGGCCTCTTATTGAAATGTTTCACCGTGTCAAAAGGCATTACCGCTGTGTCCCTCACACTTATGCTTCCAATATTTTTCTTAAAATTTCAGGCTTCTGATGATTCTTTCAGTGCCATCCTACTATTCTCCAATGAGGATCAAATCTGGCATGGAAAAAAGTCAAACAAATAAATTTCTGTTGGAATTGAAATGGGAAGGCCCGGCGGAACTTTGTTCAACGATATTTTAAGGCTGGATATCTTAAATTTGCTCTCTCTTGGATCATTGATTGATACTTGCTCCAAGAAGCTTCTGGTTTAGCTCCTCCAAGTCAAACTGCTTTCCTGTAGGCTTCTCACCACCAGCCACATCAACTCTACTATTGTTCGCCACATCTGCATGTGGATTACTGTAAACATGAACAAAATCAGTCGATATATTGGACATGGAAAGGGAGATAGGTGCTGATGTGGAAGAAACCAATAACATCATGCCATCTCAACAATGACCACCATTTATAACATTGGCACAAGTTTCAGTGGCCATTTCTGATTATTCACCAAAATGAGACATTGAATTACAATCTTATCCTCCAGATACAAAACCCAGCAGATGGAAAATAGCAATTTACTACTAGTCTACTAACAAATGCAAGTAATGCCCAATCCCAAATATACAAATCTCTCTAGTTACGCGTGGCAAAATGAAACTACATAGTACAAAATCAAAGTATAAGCTTTTATCTTTGAAGGGGAAAAAAATCATCAAATGCGAAACTCCAAAAGAACTAAATCCATACAAAAGGCAGAATCCAAACATGAAGTAAAAGCTAATTGGGTGAACTTCAAAAATCAAATGGAAGGGATGGAAGGCAGCTAGGCAAAACTTACACCGGCAGAACATTGAGTACTCTGAAGCCAGCAACAGGAAAGCGCTGCTTCTCCTCGAGAAAAACAGTGGGATTAGGTAAATCATAAGAAACTGAGAATCTACTGTAATAAATGCAAGTTTCATTGTCATTGTCAATGTCACCGTCACCATCACCCGGCCTATGCCATAAGAGGCAGAACCTATTCTTAGAAAGAACAAGGAGTTGCACAGGATCATTGCGACCAAACCAAAAGGATTTGGGAAGGTCAACCACATGAAGTTCCTTCTTGTTGCGAATATCATAAGAAATCAATCGCATGTCACGAGCATGATAAATGTAAATAATCTCATCATCCACAGCAATGGGGCAATGCGTCAATAATTCTGGGTCATAAGGGAAATCCTCCTGATACACAGTCCAAGCGCTATTCTTGCAATCTAGTTGATAGAAAGCGCCTTCCCGCATCATATAGCCAACAAGTGTGCCCGGGGATAAACAAGCAGAAAAACACGGGGCAGCCCTAAAATTACTAGGTTGGGGAATTTCTCTGACTTCTTTGGTGTCAACATTAAAAGCATAATAACAAGGATCACCGGGATGACGATGGTGAGGAGCAGGAAAAACATACAACCACTGATCGTCGACAACAGCAGACAGACCTATATATCCTGCGAATGGTAAAGTAAAGCAAGTCCTCCAACCATCTTTTGGATTGCGGGTGTCTAGGCAACGGATCTCCGCGGAACCCCTATAGTCGCATTCCCAATGGCCCATCCTACACGAGACGCAGGCCCCACCGATCACATAAATGCGGGAACCAATGACTTCGCAGACGGTATCCACAAGAGCAAGATTTGGGTGGTTCACTTGACCTGAATCTTCAGAAAGTAGCGACATTGCAACACCATCACCACCATCGCTTCTTTGTTTGATCACGTACCAATCGTTTGTTGCATCGTCGCACCCTGGGACCAAACCTTCTTCAGATTCTCCAAATCTCGCAACGTGAACATAAATCAGCTTCTCCATCCCTTCCACCGCTCTTCGTCGCTGATGATGATACGGCTATGGTTTCCGGCTATGGAGCAGAGGAGTAGGGTGTTCATCAAGCCCGTTAGCCCGGTATGCCCGCCCGAGCCCGCAAGAAAATGGCCCTGCCCAGCCCGGAAAAAAAATAGCCCAAAAAAAAATAGGTATTTTTGGGCTGGGCATATTATGGGCAGGGCAGGGCTGCGGGCATGGTATGCTGCCCTGCCTATTTGGCCCTGCCCGTGATATATATATTTATAATTTTTTTTTTGCCAAAAATACTTATAATAATATATAATATATAATAATATATATTATTCTCCCCTCTTTTATTTGCCATAAATACATTTAGTGGTATGCGTAATTCTTCCTTCTTAGTATCTTTTTAATTTTTTTTAATTTGGTTTAGTATCTTTTAGTTTGTTTTTATTGTTGGTTGTTTTACAAAGATGTAAAAGCAAGCTCACTTTAGTGTTATATTAAAAGATATATCAATTTAAAACAAAGCAAAGTTATTGATTTGTTGAATTTATTGTTTATTCAAGTATTTATTTCTTTATAATTGTTATAAGATACCTTTACTCTAACTAAAAAAAATTTCACCAAGGTATCACTATTTGGGTTTGAAAGCCCGCCCTGCCCAGCCTGTTATTGCCCAGCCCGAAAATGGTTAGGGCTTCTATGGACAGGACAAGGCAACGGGCCGCAAAATGCAGCCCGCTCATTTTTCGGGCTGGGCATCGGACAGGGGGCATGCCCTGCCCAGCCCTGTCCATGAACACCCCTACAGAGGAGGGCTACCAACTTTATTTAGCATAAACAAAAGGGAAAACCATATTGAAGGTACCTATACTTTCTCTCAATTTTTAATTTGGTACCTATGTGTTTTTTTCCCTTTAATTAAACATTTAATTTTATCTTTTTAGCAACATTAGCTCTTATAACTTTGTTCTATTGATATTTTTAGTCTCTACATAAGGATTAATGATATTAATAGAGGAAAAATAAAGATTTAGTTAAGAACAAAAAACACATAGGTACCAAATTGAAAATTAAAAAAAAATATAAGTACCTCCAATATGGTTTTCCCTAAACAAAATGACTACATAGAAAAGTTAACTAGTCACACTGGTCAATCTGAGGGAAGCCCGGATGAACCAAAGGAGGTTCTCAAGGTACAGATCACGTAAGACATGGCCCTACTATTACAAGATTTTATTATTTAATTATGATATTTATTTGCAAAATTTTCAGAAAGATATCTTTAAAATTTTAAAATCTCAAATCAGAAATGATTATAAAAATATGTTGTCATTTACTTTTTTTTAATATTATTTATTATTATTAAGGCATAGTAAACGAGATTGATTTAAAATTTAAAAATAGTTTTTTGGATTCTCCCAGAAAGTTTTTCGTTGATCTCCCTTGCTAATTTATTCCCAATATATAAAAAGATTTAGTATGTATAATGTAATATGATGGAGAGGAGATTTCGTTTTGTGAGGCTGGGACAGTTAGGAAGTTTAGATACGATCTGCACATGATGCCTAAATTAAATTTCATTCCTTCATGCTGGCCAAAAACAAAATTCATAATTCATTACTCCCTCCATTCCTTATTATAAGAGATAAATAACCAAATTACATTGATAAAAAAAACAGTTAAAATTAGTTGAGGACAATTAATATGTAAAAAGTATAATGTTTTTTCCAACAATGCCCCCATTAATAAGGAGAGAGAGTATGAGAGAACAATTAAATTATTAAAAGAAAGAGAAGTGGGAGGAAGAGAGAGTATGAGTTGGAGACAAAATAAATAGGGGTAAAATAGGAAATCAATACAAAAAAATAGAGACAACTTTTAAGTGTTTCTTATATATAGGAACATGCCATAAGCATCAAATGTCTCTTATAATAAGGAACGGAGGGAGTATTAAATAATGAAATAACACCAATTCAAATTTAAATATAAATCTAACTTAATTAAAAAAAGATAATAAGGGGAAGATCTAGCTAATATAGATATGAGATATCCTGTTTCATTAGAAATAAAAAATTACCCTAAAAAAGATAATGATTTAGCAAATATAAATAAATTATTTTTAATGTAATGGATATTTGAAATATCCTTATTTAAATAATTATGATAAAATAATCCTAAATATCTAAATAAGATTCTAATTAATCTATGCTTCATATTCCATCATAAACTGAAGAGATGCACGTCAAGCATAACTTATCGGAGATAAACTTAAAAGAAATAGATATCCCGGAGAAGGGGAAAAAAACGAAAAAACTCAGCCCTCTAAAAAAAATGACAATGTTTTGCCAAAAAAAAATGACAGTGAAAAAGTTGAAGACCTAAAGTTTTAAAATTAAGTGATTTTTTCTTAAAGAAAAAATTATTTTGAAGGTACCTATACTTTTTATCAATTTTTAATTTGATATTTATGTTTTTTTTTCTGAATTAAGTATTTCATTTTGTTCTATTAATATTGTTAATCCATGCATAAAGACTGTCAATACTAATAAAACAAAATTACAGCCCCTAATATTGCTAAAAGGGTAAGATTAAGTGATTTAATTAAGAGAAACAAAACACATAAGTACCAAATTAAAAATGAAAAAAAAGAGTATAGGTACCACTTATATTATTGTTCTTTTAATAAAAAAACATTTTGAAAAATATCTCATGGGTATCATTATACTGCATGTCTTTAGGTGAAGTCAATCTGATGTGAATATTTTGTTGGACTTAAAAATTGAACTTGTACTCTTGTAACTTGAAACGTGAGCTCAAGGTATTTCGGAAAAAATTGTTCTGTTCCCTGTGTGCTGTTATTTTGATATTGTGGAGTTTTCGGTTCAATTTTATAAGTAAAATTTCAGGAACTGGGCTTTACTTTTCTGACCCAACACGGTATGCCCAGGACTTACTGAACCAGCCAGCAATGATTTCTCAGATCAAAAAAAAAAAAAAAAGAAGCCAGCAATGATTTCCACCACCCCTGGTCAGCTTTTTTTTTTTTTTGGGGCAACACAATCCTGGTCGGGGCTCTTTAGTCTTAAAACGTGTTTGAATATCTCTAAGGACCTGTTTGCTACCATGATTAAAATTTTTCGTAAATCAACACAAAACTTTTTTTATATATTTATCTCGTATTCTATAAATTATGATTAAAAAATTATTTATAAGTTATTATAAACGAGTCCCAAAAATGCTTCCTAACAACGGATGTATCTCAGCCGCGTGGTGTAGGATTCAGAGTCAACCCGGCCCGGGAGGATTCCTAAAGTCACAGGTCATGGTGTCACATTACCAGATTGGGCCCAATTTTATTCTGACTCTGAATTTCTCAAGACCTGTAACTAGGTTGGGGGTTCTCCACATCCCCATAAAGCACCTCTTGGATACTCTATTGTGTTATGTTTTTAAGATTTGCCAACAAAATAAGTGCAAGTGGTAACCAAAATAATAATAATAATAATAATAAGTGCAAGTGTGTGTAAACGAATAGTTGAAGTAGGACTTGATAATTATACATTTTTTATTATTTAATTATGATATATGAATTTAATTGATCTGGACCACAAATAAGTTTTCTGCTTATTTTGCTTGCTGATTTATTCTCAATATATCAAAAAGGATTTAGTGTATAACATGATGGAGAGTAGATTTCGTTCTGTGTTGTTGGAAGTTGGAACGGTTAGAAAGTTTAGATACGACCTGCACCTGATTCTTTAATTTAATTTAATTCCATTTTTTTTAATTAAATCTAATTTAAATAAGATAAAGAAACCTTTAAATTAAATTTAAAAATATTTGTCCACTTGGAACGAATTCACTCATTTTCAATAATTAAAATCTAAAATGGGTAGTTCTAATAAAATGATTGGTCGGTGTTTGATTATCACGGAATTCAGTAATAATATATATTTTTAATCATTATTAGGTCATTGGGGACTCTATCTTTTCTCTTTCTTCTTCTTCTTTTTTTTAATTTGTTTTGTCCGAAAGATCCAAAATTGCATTGGTTGCATGTTTCCATTGCCCAAGCTCGTGACGTGGAATCTGATAATTAAATGGAATTAGATGCACGATTCATTGAACCAGTTTACTTGCAATATTCAAGTCAATATTCAATCCTAGCCTGGTGTGCGTTTTACGGGTTAAAAAAACATTTCTTTATTTTTGTCACCGTGAGAAAGGAAAATAAAATAAAATATTCTGCTGGCCCTCTTTATAAAGTAGAAATATAAGTTTTTTTTTTGCTTATATTTATAAGTCCCCTATTTTTTTTTATATAAATGTATATCTTTATTGTAAGTCACTTGTAACTCCTTCTAATGCATTAAATTGATTACAAAAATTTATTTTATCCCTGTTAAAAAGTTTTCCTCTCTTGGTTTACATATCCTTTTCACATCTAATTTTTCTTTTCGTTCTCTCTTGACAGCAAGAATTAAATAAGAGTAAAATTAAAAAAACTGATCACTTATATATAGGACAACAATCTCTTCTATAATGACTTATAATAAGAATCACAGTGACGTAATTTTACCTTGTTTTCTTTATTACTAGGTAGATTTTATATTCATAGGTCGGGTTAGAAAGTTATTCAATGTTGGTACAAAGTTAAAACATATTAAAAGCTATTTATAAAGAAAATCAAAGCATGTGCTAGAGTACTCTTGTAAGTTTTCTAAAATCTCGTGGTCAAAAGAAGCTTTCTAAAATCACATTAGTTTAATAAGCATTTGCAGAAGTGGGAAGGAAAGGAGGAGGAGGTTGCTGCACTTCAATGTGAAAAACGGAAGTAAGTGTTAGATCCGATCAATGTCATTTTTGAATCTCAACATCACAGACGTCGGCAAGCTAGGGGGTTCTGCAACTTTCTTTCCTTCTTGTCCT